TGTCCTGTCCTGTCTTACCAAACGCTGAACAGCTGTCCTGTCCCGTCCTGTCCCGTCCTGTCCCGTCCTGTCCTGTCCAGTCCAGTCTGCGCACCAAACGCACCCTAAAGGAACAAATACTGAAATAGCCGATATACTATCAAGAAATCTTAACAAATTATTTTTTGCAGATGGATAAAAAAGATAAAGGAAAAAGAAAAGTGATACAACCTATATATATATATATATATATATAGTTGTGTTAATATAGTTCTTACATTAATAAAAATAAATTAACAAAAATCATAGAATTTTTGATTTTGTAACTCCCAATTAATTAATGATATGGGAGTTACATAATTTCTTTTACCTAAATGCCCTTTTTAATTTTGTTCACTTATCTTTATGAAATTCTAAATTTAAAAAAATAAGTTTTTATCATGATTAATCACAACCGTTTATTGAAAGATTGAATGACCAAGATTGGTTAACAAAGTTAACACAAAAACTTTGGTTAACATTTGAACTTGACCCTATATATATATATATATATATAGACTTGGGATCATGTGAGACCAATAGTTTTTCGTGAGACCCGTAAGACCAATTCTCAACCCTTGGATTAGATCTACAATCATAATATCTGAACATTCATAAACGCCACGAGACTTCTCAATAATTACAAAATTGTTACCGTACAACTTTAGACCGTTAGATCATATGCTTATAAAGTTGATCAATGAACATAAATTGGTCTTACAGGTCTCACGAAAAACCCTTGGTCTCACGTGAACCCAACCCTATATATATATATATATATATATATATATATATATATAAGGTTCATTTGAGAAAGTGATAAATATTTGAGAACTAAAGAAATTATTCTAGCCATTCATCTAGTCAACATTTGCGGCTTTGACCATGAAGCACCGGATAATAACTCGCATAGGTATGCAGAAGATAGAGGGGTGGTTTTATAAATTTTACAAATAGTCGGCAAATGGAATCATATGTGGACCCATGTGATGCACATACCCGTTAATTCGTTCATATGTGAATTAATTAATTAATTTATGTGCAAGTTACACGGGTTCATGTGTGAGTCAGTTAAAATAGGTCATATGTAAATCGCATATGTTCATATATGAACTGGCTCATTTGCTGCCTATTTTTAGAAGTTACGAAACTACCTTTTTTTTATTTTTCTTATAGCCCCAATTTTTGACCAGTTAAAGTCGTAATTATTAACCAGTCAAATCTAATATTC